GTTTCCATTTGGATCCATGAGTTTATGCCTTTTCATTTCAACAAACAAAATTAATGTTGAGATATGAAAGGCATCAAAGCTCAATAAGCTTTTTCTGTTTATTTACTTTCCCCTCAAATACATATTTTTTTTATGTGGTAAAAAGTAAAGTTAACATTCTGTGCCAAGTTTCGGGCAAGTGTGAAATAAGTCGTATTAGGTTATTAAGCTTCTGAAATAAGAATTTATATTTATAAGAGAAGTGCTGACACAACCTGAACTCTGAGCAGTGCGTGTTCATATGCAGTGTGAAAAGCCCAGATTAGTTTAGCCTAATAAAATGAAGGATTTAAAATAGAGCAAATTATTTCAAACAATCATATTTCTTCTGCTGTCATACTTGCAGTCACATTTGGGTTTAAATGATGTGAAAACACGAATCTATTTGTATATTCTCAAGTTACACCCACAAAACAGGATCCTAGAGAAATTCTTTCTTGCAAACAATGCTTGCAGGAATACTACAGAAGGAGAAGCACGTGTAGGTGTATGTGAATAGATAGATTATGCATATGCTCAACATATAATAGTCCATAATGCTGAAAATAATAAATTGTTGTGAATGTGTAGCAGTGGAAAGTGCATTTTATATGGATTATCTGCCCTAGTTCCTGGTCTTATTTTTGGAAAGCAATCAGCTCTTCGTGAGAACTCAGCACCATGCTGAGCCACCCTGGGGCTTTTTGTGGCCCAGCCCTTCACTTTGCATTATCATCTGCTAGCAGCCACATCCTGTGCAGACTGATTCATTACAGCCAAGAAAGAGAGAGAACAGGAGACCCTCTGAATCCTGAGGTTTGAAACCACTCTAAGATACTTCTCTCATTGTGTTATGTAAAATAAAGCCCTCTTTCAAAGAAATTACCCGCCTTTTTTGTCACTGACTATTCCAGATAAAAACTTATTTTACTTTACAATAATATGTTATTTTAACTCCAGATCTTTGCAAATCACCTTTCCTTGAACACTTGCATATTCCTAATCTGGAAGACTATATATTCATCCCAATTTAATGCAAACGTAACATTGAATAATTTTGGCTACTATTGCTTAATAGCTGTGGTCAAATGCAAACAAAAATTAGGTTTAAGTGATAACTTAATGAATATTTATTCACTGATGAATATGAAATACATTATTATCATCAACTATGGTACTAATTTTGTTTTCTGTGAAGCTGCAGCTCATGGAGTCAGTGGTAATACAGTATGCTAAACTTGTACTTTTAAACTCTCAAAGGCTTTACTTTTAAAACAGTATGCTTTCCTGATGCCTGACTTTTGAACACAAACATAAGCCAATCCAAAATCAGAATTACTATTGCACTATTTCTATTACTTTCTATTACACTATATTTCTGTAATATCTTGATATCTCACAGCACTTTTAAGCATGAATTTAAATGTAAGAGCCACTATAAGATTCTAGCTTTACACACAGAGAAAGAGTCTTCAGGAATAAAATGACCAGAGCTGGTCAACGGCTGGGCTGGGAGGACCGGTTTTAAACCTTGACTTCCAGCCTTCAGCATCAACTCTAATACCTTAAATTGTGCAGCTTGATGGTTTTTGTTTTTATAGCTGCAGATTACAGGTGAATCTCTGTACAGAACCTTTTCATGAAGTCTCCTGTCTTGATTACAGCAATAGCAGGACATAAACCAGCCTTGTGTACAAGCAGGTTATGCAACACAGAGGTAGAAATACAGTTGCTGAACTATTCTGGTGTTCCCACCAATACTACCAAAGCAGGAGGTGAAGGAAGTGTATTGATGTGGTTACAAGAGACCTGTCAAAAAGAATCAGTGTGACCATGATCTGTGGAAACCCATTTATCTCCGGTGCAATATGGCTGATTATAGCTGAATTACAGTGAATTTAAATGTAAAAGTCAAGTTCCTAAGCTAATTACAAAGAAACAGGTATTTCTAAAGTTTGCATAATTCAGCTCCTATTCGAAACAGAGCATAATCAAGAAAAGATTGAATGTATCTCTCTGACTCAAATGGAAACTCAAAAGGTGGAGTTCAATGGAAATTGTGCTACTAATAATTCATAGATTGTCATTTTGCTATATCATTTATGATATAAGGGGAACGAAAAGGGAATGAACTGTGTTTGCAGAGACATTGTTATATTAACCTATGTTTCCCAAGGAATTCAAAGTTTCCTCGAGAACCCAAAAGGATGCAAAGAAGCACTTCAGATAGACATCTAAAAAATATACATCACTGATATGTAAGTTCAGTATTTTAATTTGCAGCTGTGGAGACCTTACACCGAGGATCTGCAAACCACTGAAGGCATTTTAGAGATCACCACATAACCAGATAGTGTTAAAAAAACTAGCAGCAGCCCGCGTCTATGACAGCATCCAATAATTATAAGGCCAGTGGAGTTCAGCTAATTTTGGAAATAACAGGATATTTTTGAAAATTTCTCTCCAATAGGTAGTTGTCTTCCATGTTAAGCCAGTTTTGCAAAAAGATTGTTGCTAGCTAAACAAGTCACTGTAGCAAGGGTGAAGACTCTCTGCTGACCTGATTAACTCATGAACTCTCCTTATCCTTATGATATCCATCTGAACGATATTCTAACATCAAAGCCTGTTAAAGCTTTTGGGGCAAATGACATTGAAGCAGGAAACGGGTGAAAATGTTATGCTCCAAAAGAAATTATGATTATTTATCATCCATAAAATTGTAACAGAAGATAAGCATCCTGATTACAAGGTGAGTGGTACCTTTAGGCTGTGCATGGTGTCCAAGGTATGAGGCTTTGCACCTTTACCTCACCTGACCTACAATTCTGTGATTCTGCTATTCTTAGAAAAGCCTTTGAAATACAGCAGCTTGTGTGCTAGCCAGGAGGCCTCAGCATATTTAACAAGGCTCAGCACCCCTCCTAACCTTCTCCTTTGTCAGGGTAATCAGAGATTAATACAGTGATTAGATGGCGTTCTTAAATGAGGTATTGTTTCATTTCAGCAATAGGAAAACTACAGAGCATAAAAGAATAAATATTTAAAACTTATTAAAAAGCTTAAAAGCATATGTATTTCCCTTAGGGCTCAACGTGTCTCAAAGAGCAAGGAAAGTCCAGCAGTTTCAAATCCTCTTCCCCCGCACACCCCTGATAACCCTAGCAACTGTACTCTGCCTTCTCCTTTCTTTTTCTGGCTTGTAGTAGTCTGTCATCCTTAGCTCTTAGGTTTAGTAGAGCAGACGTGTAAATATAGCTGGAAATAAGAAACTGCAATCTTCCCAGTTAATGGCTCAGGATCATTCTCTCTTACCTTCCTGACCTGTTCTCAAGCAGGTATTTTGTCTGGGAGCACTGTCTAGCCTTCCTCTAGCTGATTTTTCTTCTTAGATTTTGGTTTTGCCTTTGAATGAAATCAATATATGAAAATACAGCAAATATGCTATTAGTGCCAGTTAACAGCTATATGTTACTGCTTCAATTTGTTCCCTGATCACTGAGTGAAACTGTGTGACCACGCTACACGTCACACTGCTAGGAATTTTAGGCTGTGTATTTACCTTCAGTTTAAAAACACACACAAGAGTTTACCCACACAGTTCTGAGTATTGTACTGCTCCTAAAAATAACCACAGTCTGCAAAGGATTGTGAAAGGGGCAGGCTTTCACCTATACCTATCAGCCAGTAATCAAAAAAAAAAAGTGCTTTCCTCATCTCCCAGACTAAACAAAACAGGAGGCTATGCCCATGCACAGCTCCCTAGACATCCCTTCCAGCAGCAACGACATCTTTTTTGGCTCAGGCAGATGAGGCTATTGGGATTGCTGTAAACTGTGACCCTCTCAAAAAGATGAGTCATAAGACAGTAAAGTGAACATACCAATGCAAAACGCACTGGTTCATTCCTAGATTCCTCTCTCAAAATAACTTAGTTCAGGAACACAGCATTCTGAGCACAGGTTTACAGATCTCCTTTGATAGCAATCTGCCTACAGCTGAATTAGCATGGCATGTTAGGGCTGATACAGCATATTCAGATTGCCCACGTTTTCCATGCTGTGCTTTACCAAACCCTTCTTTATGTTACCTGTGCAGCACTGGTAACAGTTACACTGTTTTTCAATCAAATGTTTCAACTAGACACTAGCTAACCTTCTGGTACCTGTAAACTAGTTATCCAAGACCCTGATAAATCATCTGGGAAACTCAAAGTTGCCTTCTTGCCGGCCCGCTCGGGCCCAGAAGGGCTCACTTGCACCCGCAAGACCCCGCTGCTCTCAGCTCCCCGGCACCCAGTGTTACAAGAGTTTATTACCTGGAAGTGCTGTGTAACACGGTAGCTACAGGGAGTGCCTGGCTAGGTCAGGTCTGGGAGCAGCAGTGTTTTATCCGGGTTACTCCCAACTGCTTTATCCTGTGCAACAGAAAGTGGACAGCCTTTTCACACATAAAGGATCAGCTGCATCTCAATAAAACATGAAAGTTTAAAGAAATCTCACCTTGCTGAAATTCAATACTTAAAATTTTCAAACCTAAATGCACATCCAGTGCAACATATAACATAAAAGTGATGTCAAGAACTCGAGCAAGTCTCAGTTCTACAGTGCTGTTTGCTAGCTGAAACAGTCATAAATTAAAACACAGCTATGCAGCAAGAGAAAACAGAGATCATCAGATCCTGAGGGCTGGCTAACTTTAAGTGATTGTATATGCATAAACAACAGAGGCAATGCCATACTTGCTTTTGTAAGATAACTGTAAGACAACAGTGATAATGCTACAAGAACTTGTGTTTTGTTCATTTTTAACAGTGCTGCACTGTTTTAAAATACAATTCTACATCGTCTTAAAGTAGAAGCAGTTTAAGACATTTAGCTTATGAAATGGCTAGTCTCTTGAAGAACAGAATACCATTTGTAGCATATTTTAGTAAAATTTATTTTAAAATTTAAATAGTGCAGCTCCAGCATAGTAAAAAAAATACATCTGCTTATTTAGCTCCTCTAAAGATACTCTTACATATACCAGCATTTATTTAGGCTAGATCTGTCAATTCAGCCTACGGAAAAAAGTGATCCTAGGTTGACAGAACTGTGCCAGCAGAAACTCAAACAGCTAAGATATCAAACCCTCTATTGCAAGTACCATTTCGTTTGTACTCGGCCACTTTGTCATATTAATTTAAAAAAAACACACACACAAAACAAAAAAAAACCCTCACAGATCTGCAGACATGGCTACAGCTGTCTTATTATTTTGCTCACAACAATTACTGTAATATCTAATACAGACAAAGGTACAGCTTGAATATAGAATTTACATCTTTGTGTAAAATTGTCTACATCCAAGTCAATATTAAATATCACACAATAGCAACTACGTCATTTTAGAAACACAGTTCTTCATCTTCTGCTTCTTTCTCGAAAGTTGAGTGCTAGACTACAGACCAGTCACGTCTTTGTATCATTTAAATGTTTATGCATGCAAGTTTTGGGAGACTGTCACCAGCTAAACGCTACCACATTTAATACGCAGAACAGAATTCAGTTGACCTTTCCATGCAACATGTCTTTTCAACTATTTCTAATAGAAGCCTAATGAATACTTGAAATGAAGCAGATCTTACTTAGTATCCTATAGTTTGTGTATCAGGTAGAAAAAGCCAGCCTGTCACATCAGCTTCCTTAGCCTAGCAGTACTGCGCACATGACAGGAAGAAAAACATCAGACATTATACCGATTATGCCCTAGATTCATAGGGCTAAGCATTACTAAGATTTATCCCTTTCACAAGGCTGTTTAAGCTACATTTTGATGTGCCCTGAGTTACGTGAACAGAACGGTAAGTATGAAGATTTTAGAGCGACAGCTTTAAACCTATCTTGTTTAATTCTTCTTTAAATCTAGCAATTCCAATTTGTAGGTTTCTAAATGAGATTTGTTTTGCCTATATTAAAGGCCTAAAACCAATTAGAGTCTTTAATATCTCTTGCTACATTCTACTCCCTGCCAGAAGAACCGAAGAGGAAACTCACCCGAGGCTTAGGCACATGTGAATCCCTCAGCCAGCTTAAGAAATGGGAGCCTGCAGATGCTAAATTAAGTACTACCTGCATGTACACATGATAAGCTCCCAACATTTTGTCTATTAAATGTTACGCATAACTCACAATACGTTCAGCTGTATAAGAGATTTTTCAAATGGTGCAAAGATGGTAGTATACCTGCAATACCTGCATCTAAGCTAGAAGTTTCTAATGAATACCATCACTTCAGAAAGAAGTCACTGTACTTAATCATTTGTTCTGAGAACATACACACATGCCATTTGTTTAGTCTTTAATGAGATACCTGCAATTTATAACACTGTCACATTTAAGAGTCTCGTTTTCAACAGAATTAGTTTTACTGTCATTAGAATGAACACACGCAGAGGCTGATGAGAGCACACCACTGCAGTACAAGAAGTCAGACACCTTCTCTGTAGACTTGCTTTGAACTGTTTATTGAGGTTTAAGAAGTCATCCACATTTCTATAAATATAGACATTACTTGAGTAAGTGACTTACAATGTCACCAGTGCAGGTACATATATAACCAACATACAAAAGCTCCACTGGAAGCTACTTCAGTTTATTCAAAAAGGACCAAGATGTCATAAAAAGAAAAAAAAAAAAAAAGAGCTGTTACTTTCAGTTATTGAAGACACTAAAGTGCATTTTTGGTTACCTCCTGGACAAACAGAAGCTGGTTAAAAAGTTTGTCTTTTTTTTAAACATATCTAAGTTACATTGATTGACATTCAGGTTTGTAGCTGTCATCCTCATTATACATGGCAGCAGGTAAGAAAAATGTATTACTTTGCTGGCTGAATAAGAGGAGGAAATAGGTTTTGCATCTAAGTTGTATTTTCAACAAAAGTCTAAAAAGAATCTAACATTCTGATTTTTACAGCACCACTAAAGTTAGTCTTAAAAATCCAGGCTCTGTTTTAGCCCTTTTAATTGCTAGCCAAGTAACTAAAGAGTCACCTGAAGCTCTGTACCAGTAAAAAAAAAAAAAAACCACAAAACAAAAACAAAAACTATTAGCCCTTTTCTGTCAAGCACTATCCTGCCCAGTTAACACTGTTTGCACACTCTGTAAACAAGAACAGCTTAAAGCATAATTAAAGCAGAACACAGGCCCATCTTTAAGATCTTCTTCCCCACTCCCCACCCCAATAGTGTCAAATGTTTTGAGTGTATAAAGCATTAATACATTCCTAACCACGAAATACTTTAAAAGTCACAATTAAAAAAAAAAAAAAGCATACATTGAAAGTGACAGAGCAATACCACTTTAATAAAATGGGGTATTTTGGGGAGATACAAGATGTGCTCTGCTAAGTTTAACTCCACCTTTACTTCATTATGATTTAGTTTTATTGCCAAAAATGTCACCAACAGAGCTAAAAATGCTGCACTGGTTACAACCACAACAGCCAAAGTTGTTCTTTATAATTCCCTCATTGCAATTAATTTACTTTTAAATTGATAGCATGAGGACATAATGCTCATCATCCAAAAATAAATTAAGAACTTTGAGTAAATTTCTCAGTGATATACAAGTAGTTTAAACCTGATTAGCACTGTATAATGATGAATGGCTATTTCTAAAAAAATAAAAACCTTACATACCAAAAACATGCTATACGTTGGGAAACCACTTTTCCATGCTCCAGCGTGTTGTTTATATCTTACTTGTCAAACAAGTCTTATCAGCTGAAGAATCCACAGCACTCAAGTTTCAAGTATTTGAACTGAACATGATTCGATTTCAAAAGTGCCAAATTAAAAAAAAACTACACGTGTAGCCAAGCTTTCATAGAAATCCCCAAATAAAATAAAAAACAGCCTCTTGAAATAATGGGTTACTAGCTCCATACATGTTTTTAAAGCTGAATAATGTTCACCTAAACACTCCACTTACGCGCATTAGAAGTTTAAAAACACAGAACATCTTCAATGCAAATTGCTTGCAGAGGGTACCCTCAAACATATGAATACAACACTACGCAGAAAACCCTCGTTTTATTTGGCTATTTAGATATCCATGTCACATTTACCCACCCATCCATCCATTTCCTGATAGCATTATGTTATCTATTAGGGCTTCTGAAATAATGCAGAGCCTTAAAACTCAGAAGAGACTATTAAAAAAAAAAAATTCATAACTGCACAGCCTTCCACAAGGCAAGGTTGTGCAACCGATTGTTTAACATAACTAAGCTTAACGGCATCCAAACAAGCAGGCCTGGGTTTGGAAGCCGTCTTATGTCAAATTTTGACTGTGTAACTACTCTAAAGGAGAAAGCTCAAAATAGAACTCATCTTTTCTTTTTCTGCTGTCTCAACATTTTCCTTCGCTTAATTATCATATCATATAATTTTTCTAGTCCCTCTTTGAGTCCATCTCCAATGATTGCACAGGTAGGCTGCAAATGCCAGGGAGTAGAAGAACTCAGCTCACTCATTGCTAACATTTTCTCAATTTCAGTGAGAGAGAGAGAGTTTCTCAAGTCCTGTTTGTTAGCAACTATAAGCACAGGCACTCCTTGATTTTCTGATATCCTAGTAATTTTATGAAGTTCTGTTTTGGCTTCCTCCATTCTCTCAACATCGACGGAGTCCACCACAAACACAATGCCATCGGTGCACCTCGTGTACGACTTCCACAGGGGCCTCAGCTTCTCCTGGCCGCCCACATCCCAGAAGTGGAAAGTGACCGTCTTAGAGTTGCCCAGCGTCACCTTGATTTTCTCCGTATTAAATCCTTTGGTGGGGACAGTGTTGACAAACTCATTGAACTGCAGCCGGTAGAGCACGGTTGTCTTCACAGCCGAGTCAAGCCCCAAGATCACGATGTGGAAGCACTGGAAGGAAGGCAGGCTGGACAGGATCGGCGTCTGGTCCGAGAGTCCATTCCCCATTGCCAGACGGGAGGGTGACA